AAAAATAAAAAAACTCACCTTTGGTGTATCTGGCAGGTATTATTTCCTTGATTGCAATGGCATCCAAAAGCGGCCCACAGGCAGCATTCTCTTGCACTCCCGGATTATAAAACGTCACCTTAACAATTTCGGTCGCGGCCTTGAAAGCCCAGGCGTAGGTGTCTCCGCCGTCGCTACTGTACAACGTCTGAATGGGGAGATCCACCGACTGCCCCGGCACCGACACCCTCAGCACCTCGTCCTGAGCACACGTCCGTGTGGCGCCGAACGTCAGAGAGTAAACCGAGCCCGGCTTGACGCTCACGTTTTGAGAAATGGACGCATCGTTGCCCAGCTTTACCGCATGAGCCCCGCGAGGGATTGCAAAGTAAAACCCACCGGGCTGCGGCCCGCCTGAAACGTACTCCACTAAACCCTGAATTTCCCAATCCGGAAGTGAGTACTTTCCTTGGATAATTGTTTTCTTGAGGTCTGATTTTTTGGGTCCTCGCTCAAAGTTACCATTTTTTAGAAGTCCTGGCGAGGAGAAAGTAAGGAACTTGAAAAATCACTCATTTTGCATAATAAAAAAATAATGTAATACATTTTGAACTTAAGACTGCTAATTTAGGAGTCTCAATTTCTAACAATAAAGATGTTTACGATTTGACACACTGATAAAACTTTAAGCAAATGTGAAAGTTTATATTTAAATATAGAGTTAACAACTATTTATATATAATTTTTAAACGTATAATTTATATAAAATTTTAATTATTTATTTTTATACTATAAATAATTAAAATTTATGTAAAAAATAATTATAAATCTTAACTATTAATAATTAAAAGATGAGTAACTAAAATTTTATAAAAAATAACGTGCAAATAAATTTTAATTTTTTTTTAAAATGTGTGTAGATTTGCAAATTTTAAAAAAGGTTAAGAAGAAGATTTTCTTACCGTCGAGGTGTGGAGAAATGTGTGGAGCACTAGTAGCAGAGGCCGTGCAAAGAGAGGAAATGAGAACGAGGCAAAGAAAGAGTAAGAGAGCCATATTGGTGTGATGTGGAGGAAGCAACTAGAAAGGGAGTCTAATAAATAGAGAAAGAAAAGCGGACAAAAGTGGAGATATGTTTATGGTTTTTGAGACGTGAAAGCTGGGAAGTGGGAACAGAGGTGATAAGCAATATTTTAAAAGAAGCACCAAATCAGCCGTGAGATGTGTCACTTTGTCCCTTTTATTTTCAAAACCTTAGACTCCGTTTTCCAATTAAAGTTTGTGTTGGACGGCCCCCCACATGACCATTCATTGGTTGCCGTAATTTGCTCTCATAGACAGGTATTTTTTTTTGGGTAAAGCTCCAAAGCCTCCAATAGATCGGTTATACTCTGAATTGTGTTTCAATCTAATGGTCAAGTTAGGATACACACAAAATAAAAATAAAAAATCAACTTACAATTATGCTCAGATCTAAAGCCTCTCTCCCTGCATCATCGGCATTACTGCCTGAAGATCTGTATATATGTCCAATTGCCCCCGAGTAGTTAAAATTTTTTTATACATTAGAGATTTTGTAAAATTTTAAATTTTTTATTTTGATCTTAAATTAAGATTTTTAAATTAATAAATATTAATTTAATTAAATTTTTATTAATCTCTAAGTCATTAATTACATAGGGAATATATATTAAAACAAATCAGATCAATAAATTACTGTTTTATTTGACTATGCT